CATATCTATAGTAACAACTATTCCTTAGCATGATGTTTTGAACCAGTGTTAATCTATTTTCTCCATACTTATGGCTTTTATTAACATCATTGTGTATGTATTAGAGGACCTAAGCTGCTTTGGACAAAAGAAAATCTAAAAAGAATTTCACTTAGAATTCATTTCCTATAGGTTAATGGAAAGCAATAAGTATAAACAATAAAGCAAAAATCCCTTCGGACTCTTTTATTCTTCCTTGAGAGTGTAACTTCTGCCAAAAATGCTTTTATTTCTGGTTGGCTTCACCCTTCAGATGATGCAGGACGTCGCGTCAGGGGGTCTTCTCTAACTGAGTATGGTGGTATGTGTTAAATCACAACATACTGTTTATTTCCTTTATAGACGGTGGAAATGCATGATTGTTAACTTGATTTATTGCTGTTGGTTATTAGCAAGGTCCCAGGATGGCAGGAGCTATGTCTGTTTCCTTCCCTGTCACAGAGGAGGCCAAAGGTAGACTTTCCACCGAGGTGCAGGGCCTCTAAGGGATGGAGGAGAGTCAGGCGTAGGTCCCCTAGCCCCAACCAAAGCATGAGAAGCCAAGGTGGAGGGGATGTGTGAGAGAAGGGACCGTGCTCCTGCATGCCCTCAGATCACGCAAGAATATTGTTCAGGCCGAGTTGGTAGGAGGAACACACATGACAGGGTGGCTGAAGCATGGGGCAGGGAAACAATGACAGAGGAGGTGAAGAATGGACAAGCCCAGCCCCAGCATTTCCTTAATCTATGATGAGGAGACGGAATTCACTTAAACCACAATGTCAGCTCGGCCATAGGAAAGAATGGAATCTTGCCTCTTGTGGCAACATAGACGGACCTAGAGGATACTGTGCTAAGTGAAATAAGTCAGACAGAGAACGGCAAATACCATATGAATTCACTTCTATGTGGAATCTAACGATCAAAATAAACAAATGAATACAATAGAAACAGACTCATAGATGCAGAGAACAGGCTGAGGGCTGGCTGAGGCGAGGCGCTTAGGGGCTGGGTGAAAAACGTGAAGGGATTAAGAAGCACAAATTGGTAGTTACAGAATAGTCACAGAGATATAAATTACGGCATAGGGAATATAGTCAATAATATTGTAATAACTATGTATGGGGCCAGGTGGGTACTTGAAATATTGTGGGGACCACTCTATAAAGTACCTTATTGCCTAACCACTATTCTGTACACCTGAAACTAGTATAAAATAATATTGAATGTTAACTGTAATTGGAAAAAATGCACAGTGTCAGGATAAGTTGACTAATTGTGGTGTGATTTAGTGGGATATATTTGAATATAAAAATATCTAAAATGGAAGTCTGCTAAATATACTCCTGAAATAATCTAAGATGATGTAAGTGGAGTAAAAATAAACATTTTGAAGCTGTAGGTTTTTTGATATGGTGAGGCAATGGTTCCTTATTCAAGCTTCCTTAATCTCCAAACTGGGTTGACCCCTTGTAAGTATATGACTTGGACTGCTTACATTAGGACCCTAAGTCCTAGTTTCTCATCTCTTGGATGGAGATAGTAGTACTAAATATTTCAGTGAATAATATTAATATGATATAAAATTGAGATTGTACTTTTATTAAATTAAATTCAAAACTTTTAAATAAATCTTATTTATCTATTTCTATTCTTTTTTAAGTACACCGTTTCTCTCTCAAAAGAGAGAAAGAAACTGAAAATATTAATTATTACAATTCCAAGGTGACATATTAGTGACTTATAGAGCACTGAGGAAAACTGTACCCTTGCCTGAGAGACAGCCTGGCCAGACAATCCACAGGCACTCTTCCATTTAATGGCCACAAGGACTGAGCATGATGTATGATATCTCTGCCTCCTTTTACAAGTGAGGATCTGAGTCAAAGACAGTTTATGAATTTGTCTAAGGTCATCTGTTTAGGAAGTGACAGAGTCAGAACTTGAACAAATAGAGCCTGGAGCCCAGCCTCTTACACATTAAGCTCCTCTTTCGTGAGAAATAATATGTTCAGTAATATTATCTATACATCATATGCCCATCAAATTGTATTTATTTGGTTCTGTACTGCACTCAAATATCCTTGGCAGTAATCATGGTAGCCTGATTGTATGAACATTTTTAATAGCTTTATCTAGGTGTAATTGATACCGAATACTGCCCATATTTAATGTGTACAATTTGATGAGTTTGGACATATGCATGCATACACCCATGAAACCAGCACCCTAATCAAGGTAATAAACATACCCATCACCTCCTAGAGCTTCCTTTTGCCCTGCCCCCAATGCAAAAATCAGCAGAAGAGACCAAATACATCAAAGGCTTGTGCTATAATCACTGACAAATACTTTCATTGTCATCTGAAATAAAACATGAGTGTGCACACATACGTAAAGGGAAAACAAACGATTTAATAAATACACATGAGGATCCAACATCCCCATTTATGCTTGTTGATGAAACACTTCAGAACAGGAAATACTATTCTAGTTCAAGGACTGAGTGATTAAACCCCGCTCAGTCTTGCTTAGTCAGATGTAAAATATACATAGTTAATTGGAGGTAAGAGCTCCCTGTACCAGAATCCAGTTACAGAGCCTTCAAAACACCAACGAAGTAAGAGTTAATGAGACATTTTTAAAGACATCACAGTTTCAAGGTCCTGATCTATTTTGAAAAATGGCAAGGATAAATTTAAGTTTAATATGCTGAAATAAATTCTCTGTCTTCACTTTGGAATTTCAACTAAAAGGAATAATCCATTGGGTAGTAAATAATGAATATATATATATAAACATATACATGAATAGATCTTATATATAATATTTGGTGTGCCTTTAATTAACAGTTCCTTTTGTGCTCTTCTATTTTAATATTGGTCTTGGTTTACTAATTGTCAAAGAAATTCGGTCAATTATATGCTCATTTACCTCTGAATTATAGTAAATAAAGGGAACAATTGCTCCCAATCAGCATTAATTAAAATAAACTTGGACACACACCAATCCTAACAAAAATAATTGCAACCATGAATCCATACTATTGTCATAAGTAGTGTAATAAGGAGTGAATTGCTTTGGCACCTCTACAGAACACTTGTTAAAATGTGTGTGTGTTTGTTTTCCTACAACTGAAAGTGATATGCATTTAATATTACATAGTCATTTTTTACAGAATAGAGACTTACTTTGTAAGTTGTTGATATAATGAAATCCCTTCAGTTGATTTTTTTAAAAAGACAGTTTATGATTTTAACTATATAAAATGAAATGAAAACAGGAGAGGATTTTTCATTTCCTCTTAAATAGTTATAGATCATAAACTCTTAGAATTAATTTCAGGTACATAAATTGTTATTTACACCAGAATATCTTATTTGATAATAAAAAGGGGTAATCTTACACAAACACAGAGCTTTATTAACTTGGAGATTAACCTGCATATTTTAAGCATTTATTTAAAAAATTTCAATTGCTATATCCTCAATATAGCGATAATGCTGTGGTAAATAAGTAATGGATCTGCGTAATTGATAAGAAGCATTTTCATTTACAAAATTAAATTTTCTTTTGCTATTTTGTATGGAAAGCTGTTACTATTTATTTAATTGATTGATTTTTAGAAAGAGGAGGAAGGGAGAAAGAGAGAGAGAGGAAGAGAGAGAGACATCCATTTGTTTTACACATTCATGCATTCATGGGTTGCTTCCTGTATGTGCGCTGACCAGGAATCGAACCCACAACCTTCGGGTATTGGGACAGTTCTCTAACCAACTGAGCTACTCGGCCAGAGCTCCCTGTTTAATTTCTTGATAAAGCTTTGAAAGTGCTAAGACTCTCTGGTGTTGTCTGAGCTGAGAGAGAAGACTTCAGTTGTGGGAGACAGTGGATCCCTCCTTTGGCTGTGCTCTGAGAGCACCAGGTCCATGGCCTACGAGGCTAACCCTGGCCTGACGCATAATATGTACTAAAAAGATTGATTGAATAAATAAATACAGTCTTACACTGTTAATTATGTATTTTTATTATATATGCTTATCTCATTCTCTGCACTATAAAATCTTTAAGGACAAAGACCATGTGTTAGTCCAAATAGTCTCTTTTTGGAACTTATCATGACACATTAAGCATCGCGGGTTAATTCATGTAGCAGGCAGCCTTCCGACTGCACGCACCAGGCAGCTCGGTGCTCTTAGCTTACGCAGGGGCAGGAATCTTGCTCAGGGAGCAGGAAGCCAGCGGCGCACCCCTCGTTTCAGGGGGACCTCAGTGAGCTCTTCGCTGCTCTGCTCCGCCACTTTCAGCGCCACAGGTGGCAGCTACCCTCACCTTCCTCCAGAAGCACGCCTTTGCTCAGGCAGGAAGAGAGCAGAGGAAAAAAGGTTTCTCATTCTCCGTTTTCACATTTTTGTAGACGGGAAATTTCCCAGCAGACTCCCCCTCACATCTCACGGGTAGAAGTAGGCCATGGGCTCCCTTGAGACCATGGAAGGGTCAACGAAATGAGGACACCACGGAGGATTGAGGCCAATCATGAGTCAGCCTCCGAGACTGGGACAGGGGGGCAGAGGTGAACAAATTCTGCATTTCACCCGAACAAACTGAGCTTCAGTCACTAGCAGGGGGAAGGGGACCGTCGGGTAGTAAACGGACTCTGTGTTATAATAAATGTTGCATGAATAGAATTAGAGTTGTTAAAATGAATTTCTCAGGTCCTACGCTGTCCACAATTGCATCTTCATATTTTTTACTTGTAAGTTTTTGGCAAGATTCAATATGAGCGACTTCTGTTTCTTTGAGGATAATTACAAATGTGTAAATTCCTCTATATTTTTAGTTATGCTGGAAAAGAAAATATTCGATATTGAAAAGATGCATTTTTTCTTCTTCAAATTTTATAAATGTAAGTCTTGCTTTAGTAACTGCAATGGAAATTCAAAAGTTAATTATGGGTGTGGTTTTTTTTGGTCTTTTCTTAGGCCTGAGAAGATGAATTTAGATGCCATTTATCGGTTAATTGAGGAAACACAAATCTTCGGGTTGCAGCAGCCATCGGTTAAGCCACCGGGGGACGCTGTAGCGCCTGCCTCGGGCCCCCGGGACACCTGTGACTCCCGTTGGCCACTTCATGGGCCACAGTGTCATGCGGCGCACAGCTCCTGGGCTCGCTGCAGCGACACCAGCGAGTGGGACATCTGCGAGGAGCTTCGCCTGCGGGAGCTTGAGGAGGTGAAGGCCAGAGCGGCGCAGATGGAGAAGACCATGCGCTGGTGGTCGGACTGCACGGCCACCTGGAGGGAGAAGTGGGGTCAAGTCCGCGCCGAGAGGAACAGCGCCAGGGAGGAGGGGAGGCAGCTCAGGATGAAGCTGGAGATGGCGGTGAAAGAGCTGAGCGCTCTGAGGAAGCAGCCGAGGGCCCCCCAGCACAGGGCGGCTCTGGAAGCTGGGGGGGCCCGGGCCCAGGCGTGTCCGCGCGTCACAGACACGCCCTGTGCACCAGGGGACCCCTTTCCCGCGGGCTCACACCCACGTGAGTCCGGCAGAGAGCGTCTGGGAGACAGAGACTTTCCCGCAGAGACCTCAGACAGCTCGGTAAGGGAACAAACGCGGGGACCCAGGGCCTGGGGACATAGAAAGCCGGGTGCGGTGGCGGGAGAAGGAATCACGAGCCCAGGGGGACTGTGTTCCTTTGCCACAACTGGTAACGCAGGCGGGTGGCTTCAGACAGAGAGCTCTAGAGGCCAGGGGCCTGAGGTCAGGGTGCGAGCAGGGTTGGTGTGTGGCGAGGCCTCTCTCTTTGGGGTACAGACGGCCGTCTTCTCTGAGCGCTTTTACACACTCTTCTCTGTACGTGTCTGTGTCCAAGGTTCCTCTTCCTATAGTGTCATCGCTAGGCCCACCCGAATCACTTTTTTTTTTTACACTTAATCACCTCTTTAAAGACCCTGTCCCCAAATACAGCCACATTCTGAGGTACTAGGGTTTAGGACTTCAGCCTATGAAATTGGAGGGGACACAATTCAGCCCGTATTAGTGGTCTTACTTTTTTTTTTTTTTGCAGAAATGTATCCAGCATTTTTTTATGTCAAAAAATATTTGGAGAGATTTCTCTCCATTTACCCTTGCTCCGTCAATATTATAAATTATCCATAGAGCAGTTTGAACTTTACCCAAGGTTTGGAGCCCTCACAATTAATTCCTGTAAAATGGGTACCATAGGCCGATACCTTCAGGGAATGCCTCACACTACCCACTCTTGGAATTTCTCAGTAGTCTTACGCTCTTGAAGTTCTTAAAAGTTCTGCATGCAATAAACTTTTAAAAACCTTTATTTAATCTAGTAGTTCACACACGTATTTATCTCCAANATAAACTTTTAAAAACCTTTATTTAATCTAGTAGTTCACACACGTATTTACCTACAAGNCCTTCAGGGAATGCCTCACACTACCCACTCTTGGAATTTCTCAGTAGTCTTACGCTCTTGAAGTTCTTAAAAGTTCTGCATGCAATAAACTTTTAAAAACCTTTATTTAATCTAGTAGTTCACACACGTATTTATCTCAAGTTATTCCTCCCGCACCCTTTTATTAGGGTGGTTTAAAAAATAATAAAAAAATTAAATAAAATTTTAAGCTTTTCCATGATGTGTGTAACTTACAGTAGATGTAAATTTCATTGTAAATGAAAAAATTTCAAAGATTGCAACATTCTAATTACTTATGTTTATTCAGCCTTCCAGGTTTGTTTTAAATATATTTTTAACTTGATAATCTGAGCTATTAGTCCTGTTGTGTACATCTTTGGGAAAATGGTATATAATCTCAAAATTCAACTGTATTAACGTATGTATTTGAATGTAGTGATGGGGATGAGGGAACAGCTCAAAGAAGTTGCTCTGAATGTACAAATTATTACAAGTAATCGACACTTGTGAGAATGTGATAGATTCTCTTCACATATATTTTGCTGAGAAATTTTCAATATCTTGGGACTCCACTTGGAATATTTTTGTATTGTTGGTGTCAAGAACATTGTTCATAGTGGGTACTGATTAAATGTCTATATGTTTAGGAAGAAAGATAGTTACAGTTCCATGTGATGGTAGTGAAATAAGTATTGACTGCTGGAAGTTTCAATTAGCTGTTTCTGTTTCAATCAGTTTTCCTAACAACTCTGAAGATACTTATGTATGAATGGATTGTCTTATATGGTATTTTCCATGAGAACAACATGTCTTATTTTATTGTTTTTTCAGAACGNGATACTTATGTATGAATGGATTGTCTTATATGGTATTTTCCATGAGAACATGTCTTATTTTATTGTTTTTTCAGAACCACATACATAATACCCATTAATTGTTGAGAGAATGAAGAGATGAGTCATACTAGTAACCTAACATTTATGTACTGTTTTCAAAATAAATACTAAAAATGAAGTATCATTAAGATTTTATTTGAACTTGGCTTTATCTCACTTTAAACCCACAAATCAGGGCAAATTTAAATTACAGACAAATATCTATAGCATGGGTCTGGCCAAGTTTTAGAATTATGATGTAAGATTTCAAAGCAGTGTGCTGCTCTGATAAATGATGCTCACGTATATTAAAATGTCCCATTAAATTCTATTTGAGATTTAACTAGTGATCTAAAAAATAGTTGCATAAACAAGCCTATTAAAACATCGGAGAGTTCCTTGAAAATCCCTTCTCCTCTGCCCTGCAAAGATGTTAAAGAGTAATCAGCTGGCTTCCCTTTGAAACTCTCAAGTGCCTTGTGACAAAATAAACTTTAAAGAGAAATTCATAAACTCATTAAATAGCTCTCTGCAGCTGTTAAAGTCCATGCAGGGCTATTTTTAGCTGTGATTAAAAAAATAGAAGTTAAACCAAAAGTTAAAGCAGACTTTTGAGAAATGTATTTGATTATAATAAGGTAGAAAGAACATAGAAAAAAAGGTGCTTGTAGAATGCAAGTTAAAGTTTGGCCGTATTACACTATTAGAGCATGGTAAAAAACTGAAAATATGCATAAGCCCTAGACAGACAACGGTGTGGTGGCGGCCAGAGGGGAAGGGGGTGGG